GTCACAGTTGGACAAAGGAATTAACTACACCCCCTTTTTTAGCTTATTTTTCCGATGAAGCTGCGATCAGACTTCCATGCGAAACGTTGGAATTTCTTATTTCAATTATACTCACATTTAGACGAATAGAACTTATAATACAGATTTGCAACTCATGAGGATTCGGGACTCATATCACTTTTCTGCTTGCTGTCTTCGGTGACTGACATCAGAAAAGCATGATATCACAGAGGAAATATAGTTGGCTTTAATGCAGTAGAGTGATACTGGGCTTATGAATTAATCTAAAAATAGAAAAAAGATGTATTTCAATTCCAACAATGGTTGTTCCTATACTACTTACCGCTGGTGATTGCAGGGAGTTACAATTCCTATGTGGCTATGAAGAGATGGTTTAAAACGTCCAGCTGTCTTTAGTCCTTCTACATCATGGATAAGGACTAATGCAGAAGATGATAACAACCAACAAGACTTATTGGCCACTAAGGTAGTCAATATGAGATTAGAAATAAACAACATTTATAGCTACTACTATAAAGTTGATAAAATAGTCAATATAGAGACGTAGATAACTCTGTTCCCAATCGACCGTCTTATCCTACAACTAATGGATTTGCAAAATATTAACTCAGCTAAAAATGAAGAGAGTTAATATAAAAACAAAGAAACAATGCAAATTCTCCTGCTGAAGTATCTTTTGGGGAATACTTTTATTGAATTCGGAGGTTTGTGGGGATTTCCTAAGTCCCCACATACCTCTAAATTAAACTGAACTAGTGTTCATTGGTGACTAGCTTCAAGAAGTGATTCCTGAAGTCCCAATGAGAAGTCGTGGCCAGCGGGCAAACCTGGTGGCTGTGGGGACAAACACTCAACGATGACACTGGTTGATGGTCACGTTATGTAACGAACTGATAGTAGCTTAAAACGTGGAGTACTGGATTCCGATCAAGTAGCTTAATGGTAACGCGCTGGTCGTGGAACCTAAAGGTCCGGGGTCTGATCCCTGGTGAGACGGGGTCATGGGTGCGCGCTGATCCCCATAAGAGGGATAAAACAGCTGCCCAGTGCTCCTGGGTTTCCAATATTCCTCCAACTGACATCCGTCCATGATGAATATCAAATTGAAAACGTAATTCTGTCCCCTGTAGAGTATAAAGTGAGTCCAACTGCCATAATAATGCCTTCTTGAGTTGTCTCCGTGACTTGGTATTTTCTTATACATCGAGGATCAGTCTTATGTTTTGTGGTCACTCTACAGAAAGTGTTATCTCAGATAGTTTAACCTGAAAAGAAGTTATTACTTCAGCTGTACAACCCATACAACAAGTGAAGCTGAAAAAAAGAAGATAAGATCTATATTTCAAGGAGACTTGGTTCATTTTTTAGTAAAAAATATTTTACTAGGTCAGGAAAATGTTTGGCACTTGTTTGTATCCTTAAACCTGGAAAACAGTTATAGTTACCTGCTTAAACAGCTGCTTGTTTTCACATAAAAAGCAGCCATGAAAATAATAAATAAAAGTCAACTCACCTGATTACTCAACAGTAGATGCGTTGGTTCGAATCCAGATCTTTTTCATAGCATTCAAGATTACAGATTCAGCTTGATTCCTTTTCACAAGATTATCAGTCAGTGCATGGATATAGTCCTATTAGATAATGAAAAATCAAAGAAGAGACAATTCAATGAAGGAAATATTCTGCACGAGGAATAATTTTCAAAAGATGTATAGTCGTAATTATAGTTATAACAAAATGTGTCAAAATATGTATCCATCAATAGCTAGTAGGTTAAAACAAAGTCATCAAAAAACGGTAAATAGTCACAGGGGGAAGGTCAACTCAGGGTCATCAAAAAATTGCTTGTAGGATTGCAATTAATGAACAACTAATACGGAAGTGAAGAAACAAAGTATCTTCAGGAGACTACGACCATGGCAAAATTTGAGATTGAACTTATCTCTGTTGAATGTGTCAACGCCGAATTGCCAAAACTTCTTATATGCTCAGTAAACTAATCTCTGCTCACTTCAAAATGGTTGATTTGACTTTATAAATGACTTTAAAGAAAGATTCTTGTGCAGAAGAGTGACCAGAGTTACCTAAATGCTTAGGAATCGATCTGTTATTGTCTTTTCACCGGTATGTGGACAGTTGTGCAATATAGCTTTCGGAGATGCAATTACGTAGAAAAATCACTGTGTGGCTTATGTAACTAACCCCACAAGAATAAGCATATTAGTAAACACACATTAGGTCAAACTAATGCGGTAGTCTATCCTTTCGGCAACCACGAATCACCTGTTGAATTGCTACTTGTCGATATTTTACTAAGAACAAGATATTCAGCGAAGAGACTCTTTTCAACGAATTTATTTTCAAGCTGTACAATCGTATATATATATATATATATATATATATATATATATATATATATATATATATATGAAAAATTGCATCTCGTGAGAAAACCTAGACACCATATAATAATAATGATAATAGTGAAACGGATGATAACATACATATTTGTGTTTATGATAACAAAGTACTCTACGCAGTATATATGACGTGGTTCATAGAAGGTGTATAACTCAGAAAGGGGTGCAAAATTGATGAAAGTGGTAAATCAAATAGGTGTTACGCAATAAGATTAAACAAGTTGATCAAGATGAAATCAATGTTCTCTAAAAAGATTGAGACATTTAAGTGAAATAACACTAGGAACTAATCAAAGTGAAGGAGATTATCATATCAACAATAGTGATAAAGGAAGGATATAAAAATTAATTTAACAAAGGGGAAAGGGAAACTATAATGGGGTGGGAAAATGTTATGAGCATGGTAAAAAATCGTGACTGTACATACTTCTTCTGTACACATAGACCAGGTTTTAGTTTATGAATAGCTAAAGCCTCCGCTGTTTTAAGGAGTCAAAAAATAAAGAAAATGTGGGAGGTTTGGGCGGATTCGATAAATAATTTTAAATACTATATGATGATGATAATAATAATAAAACTGATCGTGATATAGACTTTTGTGGTTTTGATAACAATTGAAGTATGAATGATAACAAAGTAATATATCTTTCATAATTCATTGGTTATCCTAATCACAAATGCCTATGTCATCATCCGTTTTATTATTATTGTCATCATCATCACCATCATCATATAGTGTTTGGTTTTCCTCACCGAATATAATTTTTTTAGATAATTTTAAAGTCATTGTCTGAGTTTGTAGAGTGATGGAAATCAATCAGATGTTCTAGAATGGAACTTCTAACAGACTTTCTTTCACCCTTACAAAACCAACCTAGAACATGTTGTCGTATACGCGTAGAAAGCATTTACTGGCTACAGCCGATGTACTTTGCTTCACAAGAGCAGGTGAACTGGTAGATACACATAAAGCCTGAAAAACGATGAAGCTTATCCTTAACACAAACGGAGAAAAGTTTATGATTGATAAAAGTCGACTGAAGTCTTGCTGCGAAGAAAGTTCTATTGATTGATTTACATAGACGATTTTTTAGTACATCTGATGCTAGGTCACGTTTGAATTCTAGGCTCATGAACAATCTTTTCTCTGAGACCGAGTGAATGACCGGTTTAGTATATCTTTCTAGCATATTTTTATCAATAAAACGGCATGGGTAACCATTTTTAACAAGTATACTTTTGTAAAACAGTAGCTCTTCACCAATACAATCTTCACTACAGATATTTCTCATTGGATAGCAGACATTGAATTAAATTTCTTTTTTCTATTGACAGGTATTCAACTTAAAAAAATTACTTAGTTGTCCGTTTCACATTGCTTCGCCTTAGATGGATTTTTTGAGGTATCCATTCCTACTATATTTTATTGTCAGTCAACTGTTTATACTAATGACAGGGTAGGATGTATTCTGATATTGTAAGCTTGAAAGTTCAAAGAAATACTTTTTTGCAAATAAATGATTAGCCAATTAATATTAAGTTTATTTTAAAGTATCTACAGTTCGCCTAAGTTTCAACCAACGTAATTATTGACTAGCCAGTTGTAAAATTTGACAATGAATTAAAAAACAAGATATTTAGACATATCACTGGATTTCTCATTGAATTTCTTAGTCACTTTAGAGATTTTTAATAAAAATATCTTTTCTTGATGAATTTGCAATCTCATACATTTTCTTCCCGCATATTAGTGGGTTGTAAGTAGTATTTAAGGATAATTATTAACAAAGATGAATTAAGATGAAGATTACCATTTCAAAATGATATCAGAAACTTACGAGTAAGGATCGATGAAAATAGAGCACGGAAAACAATATAATTTGGTTTTAGGTGGGTGAGGATTTATTCTTGTTATTATTATTTTTCCCTTGGGTTCCGAGTGAAACATAAGGCTGCAGTAGCACTTCGCCATTTCACTTTCAACCTGGCGCCACGACTGCCCACAAGCTTTCATTTCTTCCTCACACCATCTCCTCCAAGTTACATACGGGCACCCAACTCGTCGTTTCCTCTTTGATTTTCACTTAGGGGCCTGGCGTGTGATGTCCGCAATCGGCCTTCTCAGTATATGCCCAATTCATCTCCACTTTCTTCTGCAAATTTCTTGAGTGATAGGTTCTTGGTTGGTTCGTTGCAAGCCAACCAGAGTTACTTGTTGCTTATTCTTTTTGGCCATTTGAACTTGATTTATCAAGCGAGCGCAGGCGGCAGTTGTTAGTATGTGTCTGTAGTTTGTTGGAAGTGCTTTCCGTAGTGCGTTAAGTCTCAAGCATCACATAGAAGCATTGACCTGAATGACATTAGTGTGGAAAACCTGGATCTTGTTCTATATACTAAACTGTGTTCATGAAGGACTGAAGCCATTTGGGAAACTAAGAAAAACCCAAGAGTGCTTATTTTTATACATTTACCTGATTGGCATACTTCATCCTATTTCCTCTCATCAGTAATTATTGTTATCTTCTTTTCTTCTCCTACATCTTTATTTTCTTTAATCAGGTTAACAATGACACTGGTTTGTGTCTTGATATTCACTTGTCTATGCTATCGAATTATTGACTATTTCAATCGATATGAAATGATGAAGTCATTATTTGTGTATAATAAATATTATATGCCTGAAAAATCAATTGGTTTGCATAATAATCGTAGTGAGAATTTCAAATCAACTTCAAAGTCGGTGAATAAAGAACTCAAGAAATTAAACTGGTTTACTATAACATTGTGCAATTTAAATCCTATGAGGTGAGTGGTAAAATATATACTTTATCACATATTCATTCAATACATTTTTTATAATTGACAGAGTCAGAGATAGAGAGAGAATTGAATGCGTTCTCATTTTATTTACCTGACAAAATCGGTACCGAGAAAAAGAAATTTATCAGATTTCATTTTTCATTGGATTTGTTTGGCCTTTTTCTTTGATTGAAAGAAGCATGAAAGTATTCAAAAAGGATCGGTGATCAGTAGTTTTAACTGATTTACACCAAACGTTTGCTGCAGATATCCTTTGCAGAGAAGATGTCTGCGGTCTTTGTTAAAAGAAGCGAATCGAAGTAGAATATTTGTCAGTATCGATTTACATCAAAGTTTCAACTTATAATATCTGAGCTAGTCGGAGACATATTTACTTCGTACTGACTCAGATTTCCCTATCATGAAGATCAAACGGATTTGAAAATTGATACGGAAACAGTTGATATACATGATTTTAGAGTTTTGGTTTTTAGGAATTGTATTCAGTTCAGAGTAGCAATCAGTACGAATTGATATGAGTTGGCAGAGCTGGGAAGCTGTTTCGTCCTGGTATATGACTTTTCAGAAAAGCGCCCCCAAGACCTCTCCAGGGATCAAATTAAAGACCTTCAGGTCCCGCTCAATGTGAACTTGTTAAACATTTAGCCTTTGGATGACAATGAAATGGTCCGCAGTTTCCTGTTTCTGTCAGTTCATGATACAGTAGAACTATCCACTAAGGTATTTATTTAGCATTCACTTCATTTTTCACCTGCTGACCCCATTAGAACTTCTGGATATCCATCTCCAAACATGTGACTAGTGAGTGCTAGCCAGCAATGCGGTTGTTGTACAGCACTGCTATTCAAGTTCATTATTTCTTTCAGCAAATCTTTCAACATCATCTTCGATTAATAAAACTGGTGCTACAGTATGCAAAATGAAGTTCACCTTAAAACGTTTTAAGTACCGAGAGTAGTAGTTTCTACTTAATGTTTTTACAAGCGAATTGGTTGATTCGTCTTGACCAATAGATAAAAGTTTGGACCCTTCATATCTGTTCATTCTACATACTTTCGGTTTCAGCGTCTGCTACTTAAATGCTGAAAATAACTCCAGCTAAACGGCCATCTGATATTCCATTCTACAAACTTACCTGAAAGGTGGTTTTTGAGAAATTCCCTCCATTGATTCGACCAGAAAAATTCATAAGATGCGGTCCGAATATCAACTGATAATGAATAACCCTCTGGTACTATCAGTTTTATCCTTTCACGCGCTCCCTTACAGTATCCATTATAGATTGAATAGCTTGGCTGTAAAACCTTCAACCGAAGCACTTACCGATACCAGCTCGAGTTGTTCGTCGGCTATTCCTGAGATTTCAGACACACCTGCCTGATGAGTATCTCGGATCACTACATCTAAACAAATAAGACTTTTTTTGTAAAGAAACGAAGAACATAAAGCGTAATCTATGATTGTACTTTGTATGTTGACTTATAAGCTCCAGTAATGCTGCATGTTTTGCTCTGACTTATATGAAAGCTTATTTACACTAGTTCAGGATTATTCACCTTTCGAAATTTTGTATTCGGTAAACATTGCTTGAGGAGGGAAATTTTATGCTAATGTTCTCATCATTCAGTGGCTTTTGTAGTTTAGAAAGTAGTTTCTCACACTTTTATTGATTTGCTAGATGTGGCACACAGTGTAACAGCATTATTTACTGGATTACGTTTCGGAAATTATTTGTTGTTCACAGTCATATCAATATAACCATACAATTTTAAGACAGCACTAATTTCCTCACCTCCCTTGTGATATGGGTAGTAGGATTTTCCACATATCTGGAACAAGTGCTCAGCTATCCTTATTGCATGCATGCAGGAAATATTTTCCTATGACTGAAGTGTGTGATTGATATTAATAACATAAGTGTTAATGTTAGTAATAATATGGTTGGTAATAATATTGGTCATACAATGAAAAGGCGATTCAAGGCATCTACATACAGCATCACCATACAAAGGAGGCACCTCAGAGAAATTATGTAGGATTTTCAATAAGGCTTTGATAGGAGTTACATTTAAACATACGAACTTGAGTAAAAATATGCTTTGTAGGTTAAAAGATCCCATTGATTCAATTAAGCAGAAAGCCAGGTATAATACATGGGTGAAAGCAGTCGAACAGAGTCATTTGAGGTATACAAGCACAAAAACCTAGCTGGGTCGAAATTAATAGATGTGAGCAGGATAAGGAATTTAGAAAAAAGCTCGGCCATGTCTATGAATAACATAGCAGAGTGAAGGGAGAGATTGATAACTGAATCTTTGTTTATCGAATCAACCCCAAATGTATGCAATAGGAGTGGCTACTACCCATATCACAAAAGGGGTGAGGAAATTCCGACTAGCTAAAGAATATTTCAAAGTTGTATAGTTATCTTGATATGACTATGGACAACAAACAATGTCCAAAACGTAATCCAGTAAATAATAATGTTATATTGTTTGCTGTATCTAGAAAATCAATAAAAATGGGATTATATTCTACCATAGTGCATAAGTTTTACTCTTATATTAAAGTAGTTCCTTCCACAAATGTTTTCATGTGAGAAAGCTCATATTCTGTTTATGTCATATTACACGTTCAGAACTTTCACTCAAAGGAAGTAAACTGCAATACGCTTTAAGTGTATGTTATTATTCTAGAGCAGTATTTGACCTCTGAAGGTTACCATTCGAGTCAGCATGCTTAAACTAGTATAAAACATGGATTCACGAAATTTCTGTTACTTTCTGAAGCAGTTATTAAGATAGTGTAATTAGAAAACGAAGTTTATAGGAACAATATGTTCATTGTATATTAACGGAATGCATCTCGAACAATCTAGTCACACTATGACATATCAAGTCAATTAAAATAAAACCGAAGAATAAATCGGGAACAAATATAACAGTAGGAGATTAAAATTAGGAAAGATGAGAACAAAAAGGAAGAGTGATGTAGTTGGCCTTAATGTTGACAGGAAAGCAAAGTTTAGGTAGGTGTAGTGTAAGAACAAATTGTTTTTGTATACATAAAGGCGACGTCAATTGACGTATGAATATCGCTTCTACATATCTTGGTAAACATTGCTGACTGCTTCTATATAAAACTGTGAAAGTTGTTTGAATATTAGTTTTTCCACCTGTTTCTGCATATCCACATATCTTTTTCAGGTTGGTACTTATCGTGGACCAGCACCAGTTGAAAAAACATCGGAAAATTTGAGGCACTGAATAGCTGTTTCATTTTGGTATGAGACTCTTTATCAGTGCTCAGCCATAACTGCACCTGGGATCGAACACAGATCCTTCGGTTCCCTCACCCATTATGTTATTATTGAGCCACTGGAGTGAAATCTAATGGTACATATTTCCCACTTCTGTCAGTTTAGGATATAGCGCGAACTTCATCCAAACCGTTGCTGATTAATTGTCCTCATGTTCAATTTGGCGGACCCTACTAGTTAAGCTGATATGTTTTTGAGGCCATTCAGTTATATGTTCTCTTATCCTCACTTTTGTGACTCGTTCACTCTACACATACATCCAAAGTGGTAAACTCAGTGGGGTGTTAAGTTATCCAGTGTTTAGGTTTGTGGTGAAGTATGTGTTTTGTCTTTTCCACAATGACAAGCTAAGTTGTGTAATATGTTTCTCCAATAGTTTATGTCATCTGGATGTTAGAATACTTTTTATGAACAGAATGCAGTGTTGATCCTTGTATCCTATTCTTCCTAATGACTTAATCATAGCAGAAAATAGGAGTACAAAAGATAACAGGTAGGTTGAGGAACCATTGAGGTAGTCAAGCAGAAATATTCTTTGATATTAGGCTTTTGAACTTTGCACCAACTACGCAACTGGGATGTATGTTGAACATCGCTTAGCAATGCATATCATGTAGAAGAGTGATAAAATAAGTGAGATGAGGATGGAAAATTGTAATGTAGCGAGATTATGATATGGGACCTAATCACGATTTTTTTCAGAATATAATAGACTCGAGATTACAGGATTCACACAGCAACCGTAAACAGTAGTTCTTGACTTTCCTTAGTACGACTTGCAAGTCAGTGTTTTTAGTATCTACAGCCATCATGACATCATTAACACGATGTACTTTTCTCTTTTCTTGTTAATTTTACTCGAAACGACTGATCTGAACAGCTACACCCTGTACTGGCACATAACTGTACTAGTTTCTATATTGATTTCGGTGACTACGAAAGGAATTCAGGATGCGCTTTTTATTCTATTTGGCATTCGTCAGCCGGATATACCTCATGAGTAATGTTGTTCCGAGGCTCTAACCCACTACCCATCACTTCAAATGCCAGAGCGTTTTCCACTAGGCCTTTAAAACATGATAGCCACTCCTCGTACAACCAGTATTAGTTGTTACTATAGTGTTTGCAGTTTCTCGTTGAGTTATATGGTTGAGTGGTTCAGTTCTGTATAGGAATGTACTAGTTTTAGTTTGCCAGTGTACTTTACTATACCTTGATTAGTTTCTGATGTTCAAAAATGTGTTTGCACTTGGTGATGCCTCTCTCATTTTTTACCATTTGTTAAATTACCATAAGAAAGATAACTAATCCCACTTTACAAATTATACTGATTCTTTTCCAATTTCCGGAATTCTAGTGAATCAGTAAAAAACAAAAGTGAAGTTCCTAAGTAGATCTTGTTTTTCGGTCTGACTAGTTGAGATAACCATTATTCTCAGACTTATATTGATACTGGTGTGATTGAAAGTGAAATCAAAGTCTAAGTCATAGCAGGGTTTGAAACAGTGACCGCTGGGTTTCCACTTGGGCGCTGTACCACCTGTGTAAGCTAGGAGACCGACTACTGATGAGATTTTGATTTCACTTCAGTCATTCAGGGTTTTGGGAGACTTCTATGTGAATTCGTGATACTTTTTTATTACTTGGTGGTACTCACTGTGGCTGTCCAGCCAGGACATCTTGTCCAAATCCAAATCCATTTGAAGTACGATCAAGTCATAGTAACGCATCATGAATTCACATGTTTCCGAAAATCGTTTTAAAATTTACCCTTTACACATATCTCTATCATCAGTGTATGCAAAGTTATTGTATAGTGAGTAGTTAGTAAAGATACAGAAAAGGATATTACCGGAGATACAGTTATCAATTCTTATCTAACTACGTGTTTTATGAAAGGAGATCTGGCAATATTTGCATGAACAAAACTGACTGTCTGCCATATCCCAGTCCTACTTTTATTTATTATCTGGGTTGGGAAATCACCAACACCCATCAGCCTACATAGGACGTTTGCTATATTCGATATGAAGAAGACGTTTCAATGAATGGAACATGTACTTTAAAAAAAAAACAATACCTCCATGACACTACATTTACAACAAACCTTGTTTTACACTCATGGTTACGTCATCTGCAAGAGAATTTAAAGTCTATACATTAATGACGGACTTTTGATGTGGTAGGTTGTGAATTCGCAAGTTTCTGCTTACCGCGTAGTTCACCATGTTGTTGTTTTCAAGTAACTCTACTATTTTGTGGAAAATCTATGATTCACAATTAACACTTCTACTAATGATGAATAGCGGCTGGCAGTGGAACTCAAGACGCATGTTTTTATTTATTACCAGCCGCTGTTCATCATTTGTATCATGGCTGAAAATGTAGGCGATATCGAGGCATTCACACAATGGCCCGATAAATTTTATCTAATCATCGACGGAGATTCACAAACTATGATATAAAAAAACGCACTGATACTTTATTTTTTAAACTGCAATTCATCAGTATTTATGTAGCATTTAAAAAAATATTAAGGTGGTTCTCTACGCAGATTAGGATGAGCTGGAAGAGAGTTGAAGACCTGGAATCCATGGGCAACTGTTTCATCGTAGGTTAAGACGCCTTGAAGGCTTCTCTGTAGTATCATGGTTGTGAACTGAGGAGGAGTTTTACGCTAGGATGAAGAAGAAGAAAAGCAGCGCTCCCAGGTTGTCAGCCGTCCCGTAACTTATGTGAAGAAAACTAACTTAAATTCAACTAGTCGTTACAAAAACATGATATTTGTCGTCAAAGTACTTGTGACATCTATATATATTTTAACATAATAAATTCATTTAATTTAAATGATAAAACATGGTTCCAGAATGTCTGATTATAACCTAAAGCAATTTGTTTATAATGTAATAAGTTCCATCTCTTTTTATCTTTTGTCCCTACTATTTTTTTCTCTAGAGGAAGTGCACTGTTCACTGTACAGAATGGTTCGCAAATTTATGATATGGTGTCACGAGGACGTCAAAATGAAATTGACTTCAATGTAGAAACTGTAAGACAGGCGAGTAGACTCAACCGTATCTCTATAGAATTACTCAAACAAACTGGACATAAGTTGACTGACATGCTGAAGTAGTAAGCGTTTTACCTGATGAAAGTGATAGCATAAAAATATTTAAATTTTTTATTTAAAATAATTTCTTCGGGATTTTCTTCCAATTTTTAACACAGATGAAATGAATAAATGTCAAAGTGAAGCAAAACTCCTGGGTCTAATCCGTGGTTAGTAATCATCTGTTGAAATGATTAAAGAGGAAATGTTACCTTGGGAATCGCTCATTAAATTTCTACACCAAAAAATTTCATACGCAATAAACTGTATCATTGCAGCATTTCATTGTTATTTTACCATACAAGTGCCTTCAAAAATTTGGTAAATTACCAGTTTGTTTCAAAAATTAAGGTTGAATAGAGTCACTTATTCGGTTTTAACCGTGTTTCTTCAGTTGAGGTCTAGTGTAAAACATACACAAAGGCATATAGATTATAAGCAATCTAATTCCCAACGCTGTCCTACTCAGTTACTTTTCTCTACAAGACCTCATGGATATTTTATTACCTGTATTACAATTGGAGCCAATATAATGAGCTTCAGTGAATGACAACAGTGGGTAAATGGTCGTTTTTCTGCCGTTCTCACACAGAAAATAGTTTACCCTACTTTACAGGCTCTACAAAACTATGAGTAAAAAATCCTGAAATTAAAGGGACCTAGAATTTTAATGAATTGTCTGAGATGAGTGTTTTTCACTCCTTTTTCAGCATTTTGTTGACTTCTGTGATTCATCGATTGTAGTAAACATAAACAACAGATTGATATGCATCACGAACTGAAATCAGTTAGAGAAACATCAGGGAACTTAATGCACTGGACAGCTGTTTCGTTTCAGTATGGAACTACTCAGCACTATGCACCCACGACCCGGCCATGGGTTGGTCCCGGACTTTCAGGTTCTGTGGCTAGCATGTTACCATTCAGTCAAGTAGTTGAAATCCAGTGGTCCATATTTCCAGCTTCTATCAGTTTACGATACAGCGCTACCTCCATTAAAAGCTATGGTTAAGTAACTGTCTTCATGTTCTACTTGGTTAATCCTACTGGTGATGACTTCTCATCGGAAATTCAAGAATCACCTCTCAAAACTAGTCATCAACGGTTGCCAATTTAATTCAGCTGTCCAGTGTTCCCAGGTTTCCAGCGTCCTTCCAAGTGATGCCAGTCTATGATCAATACCGATTTGAAACCAATGAATAAATCGCCACAATTCTCAAAATTAAATATGCAGCAGAAAAAGATAACTGTTAGTTAATTGGAGACAATCGATAAGAAGTCACGCGTGATCTGGAATTTTTATTTCTTGACACTCGTCGACAATACGGATCTGATACCCAGAGAAATTGTCCTGATTCAAGACACCACTGAGACATTCAGGAAGCAACTAAAATCCTGTAGAACTAGATTAGATACGTTGATTACTTGCTGGAGGACATCAAGAGTGATTACTGACTTTTGTCGGTCACTTTACAATATGGCCACAAAGCTTCGAGGCTCACTACAGTGACACACTAGAATGTTGTTAGTTGCTTACAGTCGTGCAGCGTAACTTCTCAGTAAGCGTATGGGTCTTGAACTTTTTAAACACAAAGACAGGATAAGGTTCTCTTGTCGGATGATGACATGACATGTTCGTTAACGGGGATAAATATCCCTTCATTGTTTTTTGTTTCGTTAACATACCATAGTTTTATCAGCAGTAAAATAATAACCCTGAAAGTGTTTCTACATGTGTTTCAACGTTGTGTCGACGAACTTTACACAAAACATGCTGGGAAATTTATGTTGACAATGTATTTCAATAAATCGAAGACTTAAAATTCCTAAATCTGTAGTTTAGGGTGAAGTTGTTCAAAGTAATCTGTTCTCCGAGCTAGGATTTCAGTTAGCAGATGTTTCAGTGTTGTCAACAGTGCATCAGAGCTTCACAATAAAATATATTGGGTTTTCATCTACTGTCATTTCGCATCAGTAGAAACAGAGTACCTGTGTATGAATGCCTACACATTAGCTTATATTAGTCAAATGAACTCAACAAAATACTTAAGGAGGTTTAAGGAGGTCAATCACGAAACATGTTAAAAGATTTGCAGCACAGAAAGGGATCTGACCAAGTGAAGCGTTCGGTAGGAACAGTTTCAACCAGAAGTCTGACCAGAATGTATACAATGAAATCAGTTTTTTAAAGGGTGTAATGATCGTTTACCTACCTATAATAGTATTAAAATTTTTAGTTGCAATAATTTTGTATCAATCTAGCTGCCTTCTAAAAAGAACACTCTATTCTAGAAATAATAAACAAATTAGCACTCTTTTTGTTATTATCACCTTCATCATGACCCAACACTCGGATATCTAAATTTTAATGCGTAATGACTTAAACGAATTAGGTTAAATAATTTTCTCACATTAATTATCGGACTCATAAACTGGTATAATCTACTCTTTCATGGTGTCGTGAAAAAGCTTTTACCAGTAGTGTTCAGTTGTGAATAACCGAAAGTGACCAGAAGTTTTCCAAGACTTATTCGCATGGACGTTGATTCGGTTAGGAGCATTTTTGACTACATTAGAAGATCATTAAATTAGTTACTGCCTATCTTGATTTGGAATAATATCCAAGCTAGAAATAGGTCAATTCAAGGCTAGAAGTCACCAGATCAACATTCGGCATCATGAGGCAAGGTCTTTAATCGTTGGTTTGAGTCGCGCGGAGAGTCTGAGATTGCCCGGTTGTGATCTTTATGAAAACAGGAATCAGTAATTGCGGACTCTAAGTGATATGGCTGAAAATCAGTCACAATAACGCAGATGTATTTGCTCATTGATATCTGCGAAAGTTTTAATATCTTCACTAATCTTCAGATATTTTTCCTCTTTCCTACCGCACACCAGTTGTTTACTTCTGTATAATTTTTTCCTACCCTCCTTTTCTTCACACGCTGCTGTTAAGTGTGGAAAATTAAACCACTTCACTTCTGTGCGATATTCCATGTTTATTTTTTCTGTCCCCCTTTTTTACATATAATGCACAATTAGAGACAAATAACGGGCTTAACCTTCATCCGTTTTTACACTCATAAATAAGGAAGAGGACAGAGATATTTTATCGAAGATTTGTGGCTGTAATGCTAACTAAACAAATCAGAAACTTCATCACAAAGACATTGCGTCACATTGTAATTATTTAATGAAATCATGTAGGTAGCTAAAATTTTCCTGCCAATAACTGACTTTCTATAGTCGAAATTCAAAATTCCAACCACTGAAGTGTTGTTTTTCAGCTGCCTTCTGATCTCATGGGATGATATTTACAAGTTTAGAATTATGGTTGATTATTGGAGGCAGTCTGCAGGAAGCCAAAAATTTAGGTTTCTTGCTTTCTGGCACTTGTCAGCGGCGCGCATCCGTAACCTTGAGGGAACTAATGTCGTCTGAGGCTACAAAACTACGTCACCTAGTGCTGAAATCAGCGAGGTATTCAGAGCGCTATTAACCTCTTGTAGAACCGTCTGAATTAAGTATATTGACCTGTCTGTGCAAAGCACCAGTTTTATACTGTCTTGTCCTTAATTCTGACTGAATTCTGTTGATCATTTTTATGATGCCGTCATTGTGGTAGATACTGTTGACTTCATAACCATCGTTGTAAAATAAAGATATCCAAAACGTTCTGATTTCTAATCACACATCTGCAGAACAATCTTCATCTTGATAAAACTGAGTAACAATCTGCCTAATAGTCCGTCGCGTACATGAGCACACACGTTACCGCCGGACTTTTGTTTAAAATGTATGGTACTTTTTATTGTTGGCAGAGTTTATAGGAATTTCTAGCACAGTTTTCCTGTACTGGTTCACTGTTTTAAAATGGTTAGGATAAAAGTTTCTTCGCCAACCTTCAACTTTCCAAGACTGAAACCAGTAGTGACGCTACAGCAACACCATCTGACCGTACATGATACTCTTTTGTTTAACACGTAGTTTACATTCATTGTATGTATCTTGAGAGGAGCTCTTTCAAGGGAGACAAAGACTGTTTATATTTAGCTCCTTTGCTTCTCCAAATGTGAAGTACACTGTTTCCATTGAAGCACTTAATTACTGGTTGATTCAAGAAGAATTGAATGATACTATAGCAAGAAAAAGTAATGACTCAGTAATTATGATAGTTGATACGATTTATGAGGAAAAGTATGAAAAATCAATTATAATCTCTCCTCTGCATACAGCATCTTCCATTAAGATATTCAGCTGATCATAATAGATCTTCAAGTAACAATAATATATAATAGGGTGTTATAATTCCGTATACTTTTAAATATGTTTCATATTAACTGCTTAGTTAATCGGTTGATGTTTGATCAAAATTGGCTGCTACTTTTTCCGTTAATTGGGAAGATAAAAGTACCAGCTACATAGATTGACATGAGCCGATGCCCAAAACAAAAGCTCATACTTGCGACAGTTAGGGCCGAAAAGACTTGACACTATTATTTAGATTATAAAAAGAAGTTCTGATTTTTTGACAACACACGAAAACCATGGGCTATCAGTTTTACCAGCAAGCCTACTAGTTAGAAAATCCTATACTTCAAATGCTGTGACTCTACTGTCATGATTTCATCAACTAAGAACATGGGTAATATGTATAGTATCACATTCACTGGTAACCTTTATCAGCTGCTTACAAGTTGAACATAAAACGGCCTAGTAGATAACGAATTGGAGTTTGAAGGAATGGGCACTAGGGTTCGAGTTATACAGGGAATAACACAAGTCAGTGGGGTGCAGATATGTACAGCTGACCACTGGCAAACAAGACGAAACGTGCCTCTCGGATTCTGTTGCTAACCGCCAAGTAGAATACAACAAGACGAATATTTTTGCAGTAATGAGACGCCGGTGCAGAAGCTCATATGCCAACAGATGTTTATAAATTTGACCCAGAATAACGTTGAAAAATTAAGAGTCGTAATGGATAAATAAAAAGTAACAACAGCGTATTTATACAAATTGG